GATTTTTTTTAAATCTGTTTTGTTCATTTCTTTTTCTTGCAAGAGTAGCTTTTAAAGAATTTCACAAATACATGGAAGCATAATAAATACCTTCTTAAATTAAACAATTATATTTGAAGTTTCAATTTATGATTTTGGGCATCATGGATCTCCCTGCACCTTCAGCCTCTAAAGTGCCTTGCCAAAGTATTTCTGCCTCTAGAAGTTTTTAACATTTTCTCCCGTTTACTGTGAAGGGAACATGGGAGCCACGTGAAAGAAAGTTATCTGGTTAGTTGAGATTAAAATCCAACTTTTCAGCCAACATGCAACACACTACATGTGGTGAGAAACTAACACTGCATGTTAACAAGAACCCCATAGCCACTTTGAGACATGGTAGTGGCAGCATCATGTTGTGGGGAACGCTTTTCTTCAGCCGGTCCGGGCAGTCCCAATTGGAAAAAAGTTCTAATTTTGAAGACCATGTATTATTTTCTTTTTATTTCACAATGATGAACTATGTTCCCTTAATCTATCACATAAAAATTCCAATAATAATTGACGTTTGCGAATGTAATGAAAGATGCTTTTCACAGAAAGCACAAAACTTTCAAAGAAAAGTGCAATAGTAAAAGATACATTTTAGTTAAGCAGTATTTAGTAATGAAACTTTGACAAATTTAAGATTGAGAATGAAGAACTGAGCCTTCCTCCTACCGAATCCACCAAGGTATCAAACCGGAGAGCGAAAATTAATTCAGACCAGTGAGGCCCTTCCAAGTTCAAGCCTCTGATGAGATCTTAAGGATTGTTTGTTTTTCTGCTGTCGAAGGTTTAAATAGGGAGAAGGAGAAGGTTTTGATGACCTCCGGCCTTCAGGTCCTAAGTGGGTGTTCTGCAAACACTTCCTATTGACGTGTGGATAAGTAGAAGCCCGCTGCCGTGCAAAGTACTTATGCTCATTTGAGTGGAAATGGACATCGCTGTGAAAAGAGCAAGGACCCGAGCGAGTGGCTGAAAAGCAGAGAGCACAATATGAAGAGTGAAAGTGTCATGGTTGCCGTGTGTGTGCACGAAAATATGTGGATGCAAAAATTGTTCCTTTTGTGAATGTTTTGCAGGGAAGCTGCAGCGGCTGCGGTTCAGTGGATGACGACGCAAAAATGCACAGCAACGAGAAATAAAAGGCTGAACTTCCTCTGCAGTGAGCACCTGTCCAGAGCGTTTCCTTGTGATGTGGAAATCAAAGTGGAGACACAAAAAACATGGCGGAACGGATCATGACATAGCAGACAATACGAAGCATTGTTGCTGCTACTTAGAGTTAGCTGCTTGGAACTGTACAAATACAGGCCTGCTAAAAACATGCAACACAATGTGTCGCATGACAGCCACATACTCAAAGGTTTTCAGTCATTTTTAGCCCTTTGAGCAACTACTCACTTTATTCAAAAGTTTTGTCAACATGTGAAACTGTAAACAAATGAAATAAATATGAAATTAAAAAAAAACATTTAAAAAAGTATTTTGCAACTTCTAATACGTTTGCATACAAAACTGAATCATATTTTCCTCCCCATCAGGTTTGATACCCAACACAATTTCTGACAAAAAGGCGTAACCCAAGCATGATGCGACCACCACCAAATGGTTGCACTCAAATTTATTCAATGGAAGCATAGTAAAGAGAGCTAAATAAAAGTGTATGCTCTATTTTTATTATTATTTTTATTTAAAGCACATTTTACAAACTTTTCCTTTTCCTTTTTGTTCTTCTGTCATAAAATAAGCAGAAGTTTCCAGTTGTGATGTGGCAAATTGCGACTAAATTTAAGGGCATTGCATTCAAACCATTGTACTAAGGTGGCAACAAAAATATTTACGTGATAATTTTAATTATTAATCAAAAATAATAAGTATCCCTGTTGCGGAGCAGCATCCTCTGTGCGTGTTTATATGTGTTATATGTAGGCCAGGCAGGAAGTGACCCATAAACATATCCATCCAGCTCTTTCATTGGGGGCCAGTGTTGCCCTCCTCATCCTACTCCATACACACGCACACACACACACGCACACACACACCCATCGAAGGCCCCCAGTGAGCGCTAAGCAGGCCAGCGGGCCAGCCGAGGGGGCTCATTACAGGTTCACAGAGCCCCCCCAACACAAAAGGCCTGAGCCGCTTTAGCCATGGGATGATCTGCTCTCTACTGACTAGAGAGTCCATAGACGGACAAAAGAGGGGAGGAGGAGGGGACGAGGTGGAAGAGAGCATAGAGGAGGAGAGAAAAGGAGTGGAGAGGAGAGGAGAGCCGCGGGCTTTAAGGATGTCAGGAGACCCCGAGAGAGAAAGCCTGGCGGGCGCTCAGAGAGGAACGGAGGGAAGGAGGAGGAGGAAGCTTAAGCTCCACGGCTACGTCAGGACATTAACATTCACTCAACCTTCCAACATCTGCTGCTTCCTCCTTGCCCTCCATCCCTATCTCCCTCTGCCCACCAACAACTCTGGAACAAAGACAGGAGGATGGCGGGTGAGCTGAGAGACACTAGAGGGACTAATAATAAAAAAAAAGTCACTAATAAAGAAGTGTAGATAAAATAAACGAAGGATTGACTACAGGATGCTTAGCATCTGTTGGTTAACTGAAGTATTAATGATTTTTGAATAAAGAAGGTGGCAGTGAGAAACAATATGCATCCCAAGCTTTTATCTGATTGGTTAAACTAAAAAAACAAAGTGAATAAAAGTACATTAAACAACTAATTTACAAGGATGTGGAGCCAGTTTTGATGCCCTATTTGTGTCAGAAAAATATTTCTAATGCAAATTACAATCCATAAAAATAGGTAGCTTTATACATGAACTGATGCATGGCAGGTTTAAAACATCTTCTGAAAACTAGCCTCAATTTGTCCCCATAAAATTACTGGAACTACACCATTTTCAAATACTTGAGTATTGTTTATATTCATAAAAAGTCCAAAAGATCAATATAGTTAATCTGATATAGACCTATGAGTTTTATATAGAGTAAAATGCGAAAAGTGCATTCATTAAAACAAATAAAAAAAATGTTTGGGCCGCCCAAAAAATTGGTGCATTGGTTACTATCCTTCTTCTAAAGTCTGGCCCAGCCATTAGATATGTCTGATGGCAGGAGGGAAATGTGATTTTTTTCTTTATTTTTCACTATTTCATCTTCTGATCAGCAATCAGAGTTCTAGTTTTAGCTCAAAAAATAGCTCAAATCTGCTAAACCAACTGTATCCACAGGCCTGATGCAGACCGTTCGGTTCTCTGTTTTCGGGACAATCTTTGACTGGGCCATAAACGTTTTATTGGGAAACCTCCATGAGAGATAGAGAGAAAAACCAGAAACCCAACCAGCGCATTAAAGCCTCTCCTCTCACGGTGCGCCAGGCCCTGAGCCTTCGTCTGCAGCTGTCTGGCCCGAAGCACTCAAAGCCACAAGCTCAAAGCCAGGAGGCTTTATTGCCATTAGCGGAACATTAGCGTTAAGGTGGGACGGAGAGGTCGGGGCATTTCACATGCCGAGGATAAATACTGAATCAAGATCAAGCGTTCTTCTTAAACTTGACTGCTACGCAGAAATTAAGTTGTTCCCACATCAAAAAAACCCCTCCTGTAACCAGAAGTAAACTATGTCGAGTGAATTTGAAGCATGACGAAGTACATAATACATGCCTCACAAAGCGCAATTCAGCAAAATCAGATCAAGGGATGGCAGTGTTGTTCTTTGGCCTCCGCAGCAGCTGAACAAGTCTTAAGTGAGGTGCGTATGTAGCTGGCGGGTGCTTTATAGATGATGTATAGATGCCTGGTCCTTTCATATATTTCCTGTGGTGAAATTAGAGCCCTGTTCTGAAGTGTTCTGTGTATCTGAGTGTGTGCGTGTGTGTGTGTGTGCGTGTGCGTGCGTGTGTGTGTGCGTGACTGTAAACATGAAGACATCTTTCTCCACAGTCAATCTCTGCCTGTCACATCTGGCTCGCAACTCTACTCCTCGAATACACACTGGAATATATACACCGTGTGCATGGTGACATCTATGACTTATGTACTGGGAGGAGCGTTTGAAATTAAGCTGCAGTGAATATGGGCCCGCGAGCGGTCAGAGTGGGTACAGCGCGCGCGCTCCCAGTCGTCTGAGACGCTGTGTGTTCGAGCTGTAGTTGTGGGACGTGTGGGAAGAGGAGTGTGAGACTGCGTGTGGGAAACTGACAATGAAACCCAGAGAACATGTCGTTTGCGGTAAAATTTCAGAAAACAGCTGACAGCTCTTCAGATTTTCGCAGCTTTATTTATCCTCTATTCTTATATTACTTCATAATTTGATTTTTTTTTCTTCCCGGCCAGAATATTGTATATTGTGGGAAAGTATTTATATTCGTTGTTCGTTTTCACAGTCTATCAAGTTACAGCCCCAAATTTCAGCGTGTTTTATTAGGATTTCATGGGAGAGACTGACAGAAGTTAGATGTGAACTCTCACAAATATCTGGCTTTTAATCTGAAGTGATTAAGAGTAAAGAGATTAGAAAAACCAGCAAAACTACTCGCTGTGGACTACACAAGTCAGAAGTTCATGGAAGAGTAGCAAAAAAGCTAAATTAATTTTAAGTACCCTGAACACAACATCTCTATTGTGAAACATGATGTTGGCAGCATGGTGTTTTGTGTGACAGCTTTTCTTCAGCAGGGACAGAGAATCTGGTAAGTGTTGATGAGTAATTCTGGAGAAAAAACTACTGGAAACACTAAAGCAGTCGGAGAAACAATTTGAATCAAAGCAAAGCCATCTATTAAGATGGCACAAAGTTCAGTTCTAAGAATCTATGATTTTAAAATCCATATAATCAATGTTAAAATACAATCTTAGTTTCTGACATTTTAGAGATAAGAATAGGCAACAATTCAACTATTTCTGTCTCTAAATATATGAAGAAATCAAGAGACTTAGGTGGAAGTGAACAAACGTGAATGTTATGCACTTACCTGCTGCCTGTAGGACCAAATGCATTCGAACCTTCACCTGCTCTGCTGGAGTCTGCAGGAAAGTGACAAACAGGCGGAGCTGTCTTGGTTACAGGTCACTTACAGGAGGTAAGTCAAGTTTGTTCAAGGCAAATAAGCAGGAAAAAAAAAAGATGACAATGAACAGAACCAAAGAAAAGCACTACAGAGAAACGTAATAAAAGCATCTCTTTTAAAATGTAGCATGTAGATTTGTTTGGCTTTAAGAACACAGCATTTGTAAGGAACTTCAAATAAATGGCATCATATTGATGTACTTTATCCAATTACTGACAACTGCCGTCTTGTTACCCTTTTCCTGACTGATACCTTCGTACAAAATGATTGTAAACAATCCTTTGTGAGATCTTTAAAAAATGTGTTGTGCTAAAGTACATAAATAATTAAATGTCAAGAACATCCTTCTAGGACAGCTCTGCATTATTTCAGTCTAATTAAACTCACCATAACTTATGACCAGAGTGAACTGGAGAAGTTTAACACTGAATCAACTGAGTCTGTTTAAGGATGTGAACACTTATGCAACCAGGTCATTGCAACTTTTTTTTTTTTTTTGAATGTTTAGAAATTTTGCAAACTCATTTGTTTGTTCTTCTGTTGGAAACTGTGGCCAAACAATTATATTTAAAGCAGAAAAAATACATTAGTATCTAGTTTTTTATGACAGAAAATGGTATTTTAGCAGGGGTGCCAACACTTTTGAAAGCTTCTAAGTAAATTTGCTTCTCGGAGTAAATCGGATCCAAAGCCAGAAGAACAATCAGCTCGTTTGCTTTGCCACTGAGAGATCACACAGCCCAGGACAGATGCCATACTTGCACAACTTCATCCGTGTAATATTGTGATAAAACAGCTGTGTCCCTTAGGCTAAAACAGATTTCACCCATGATAATCTTTAACTGCCACTATTAGAGCGAATGTACCCGTAAAAATGTCCTCACGGAGTACCCAGGGACAACTTCTGCGAGTTACTAACCCTGTCATCTGTGGAAGGAAAGGAAAGGAAAAAAAAAAACCCTGCTGGTGAAAAATAAAAAGAAAGCAACAACTCTGACACACCAGGGAGAATCAATGAAAAAGAGATAAAGAGAAATTTAGAGACAAAGAACGAGAGCGAGAGGAGTGAGAGGGGAAGAGAGAAAACAAAAGCTGCTGTAACAAGTCTTTGGAGAGTTGGATAAGAGGGCACAGAGAGCACATTTTACAAAGATCACAGCGAGAGGCTCAATATATTCCCCTTCCTGTTGTGTGCGTGCTCGCTCGCTCTCTCGCTGGCGCGTGCGCGGGACACGTTAAGCGGGAGCGAGCTGGGGAGGGGGGGCGGGAGGCCCCTGCGCTCTGACAGCTGTATTGGGAGGCGCAGCTCTTTTTCCTGACATGCCCTCTCAAAAGGGCCTCGCTGTAATTCCAATATCATTGCTATTAGATTTGTGGGTCTTAATTGTCAAGAAAGAATGATAGCTACGACAGAGCTATAAAAAGGCAGCGCGCGCCGCAGATTGCTCCTGGAAGGTTTTGTGGAGCTGCCGGAGCACGGCGGCCCCTCGTTACCATGCAGCGGTGGAGACGGCGTGTAGGATTAGAGAGAAATTAAATGCTAATGGGGATGGGATCTGAATCTGCTGCCTGGGAGCATCATTTAGACGACAAGGCCGGGGCGTCGCTGACAGGCAGCGCTTCCTCCCTCCTCCGCCTCCTCCTACTCACCCAGCTATTGCTCTCACTGTTCCCGTCTTCTCACTGCTCCCCCACCCAAAAAAAAAAAAATCTGATTTATCAAGTTGTAAACTTGTCACTTTGTAAAAACGTCACTTTTCGGTGGCAGTCGGGGGAAATATAATGACCGGCTTTAATGTCATGATGTCAGGGTGCTGTATCCTAGTCGGAACGCGCTTCAAGGCGCCGCCGCAGAAACCCACCGGGACGCATTTAATGCAAGTTAGTGGTAGCATGCGTGTACGGGGTTCTGAATGAAAACCTAAAATAAAATGTATCATTATGCCTTAAAAAGGAGAGAAAAAAAAAAGGCACAGTGATTGCTTCCGTATCGCCGTCCGCGCGAGAAACCGATACGACGATATCTTTTAGCATCTTTGAAGCTGTTTTCCTTGTCTACGTCAAATGCGAATGATCAGAGGCAGCAACATGAAATCGCTGCACCGGATTCAAACCCGCTGCTCTTCAGCTTAACCTGCTGAACAATTACAATGACACACAGCTCAGTCACGGTGCAATCAGTCACCTTAGGCAATAACGCCACACATAAATACGTCACAATCATTTTAGTTACAGTTTATTTCCATGCACAACCAGTAATTACATTAGCATTTGTTTACGTTGGCCTTGAGGTATATGTAGGACCACGCATTGTGAACCCACAACCACACGCGCAGACACACACACACAAAGCAGGCTCAAGTGGAACTAAACAGTGAATCCTAACACTGGTCCTATACTCAGCACTGGAGCTCTATACAAAAATCCCAGTCAGGATTTCCCCCCCACCTGTACCATGATCTGAGAGAAAAGTTTTAAGTGAGAGATTGCATTAAGCTGCATCTTCATTACTCTGTGATATCTCTTGTAACTTTAAAAAGTTGCAAGAGTTCCCTTCAGTTTATAGTGTTAAGTAGGACATTTAAACTGTTTTGAGTAACTTGTATTAGTAGTTAGCTCAGTTAGCATCTGTAACTGTTTCCAAAATTGTACATATTTCTAGACAATATTTCTCTTCCATCAGTCAGACAACATTTTCAAGCAAGGAGAGGAGTGTCATATATTCCTGTCAGTTTATTTGAAAAGCATTAACAAGATTGAAGAAACCAGTAATAAATGTATCCCAAAGTATAAAGGACTGTTAAAGGCACTTAAACAGTCATAAAATTACAGATTATTGCTTTCCAACACATTTTTCTCGTATTTCACGTAGCTACTTCCTCTGCGCATAATTAATCAGCAAACAATAAAGAAGACAGAAACTGAGCTCTCAAGAGGCAGATTTTTGCACCTCCCACAGGGAGGAAGGCGTCTGAAGTGGCATCCCACCTCAATTAGGACTGTGCCATCCCAGCGTACACAAACCAACGTGAGGGAGAAGATGTTCTCGGTGGGTTTCTGTTTAGAGAGACATTTTGATTTAAAAGAGCAGAGATCGAATGCTAAATGGAACCAGGTGATAAGTCAGAGATGTGTTGCTCAAAAGTGAGAGAGAGAAAGACAGAGAAAGAAAAAGAGAGAGAGGAAGAAAGAAGGAAGAAGGTTAATACACTTCTTCTATTGAACGGCGTTACATTACAGAGCAATTCATACAGTTAATGGACTTCACTTATGTACTGCAGTGCTGTTAACCAGTGAAAAGGATGACGTGCCTGGCAATAACTCTAACTGATGTAGTGTGTAGTGCCTGTGTCCAAACGCTGTTTGTTCCTCTTTGATTTTTTTTTTCCTGAACGCCAGCATTTTTTCCTCCTTTGTTCCTAATGAGGAGACAGCGTATGCGGCCACCTAGAGAAAAGTGGCAAAAAAACTGCTGCAGCCAGCAGCAGTTTTTTGTGAAAAGTGAAAAGAACAATTACACTCGTTCTTTCACTTTTGGTTCAAGATCTCAAAAATTCCGGTTGAGGCTGACAGCATCGCCCCAGTAATGAGAGCAGGAGAACAGACCTTAACTCTTAATCGGTATTAAATAAGAGTAGTAAATGATCACAAGAAACATGTTACTGCTGAAAATGTGATGAGGATAGAGTAGAGACTGCTGAAAGGTAGCCTTGTTTGAAATGTCTCTCTTGTTCATTGAAAATCCATCCAGTTATATAATTAAATCTCTTTAGGCCACTCTTTGCAACCTCCAAAAGCCACACACCTACTGAAATATAGATATAAATATACTTCCAAACTCTTTTTTTTACTTATTTTATACAAATCCAGATCAATGGGGAACCCTGTTGTTAGCTACAGTAAATGAACTGAAAAGATTCAAACTTAAACTTGAGTTAAAATAAGCACATCAGCTGTACAAAACGGACATTTCATACACACTCGAATTAACTGTTGCTCCTTTATGACTAAAACGCTAGTACTCCTAAAAACTACTAGCGCAAGAATTCATCATTCTTCTAGATTCACTTCAGGTTTTTTTTTGTGACAATGTTATTTTGGCTGCTGCCGTCTCCTAATTTCAATTAAATGTTTAGATTAAAACATCCAATTTTACAAAAGCGGCTTATTTTTGTTCATCTTGTCAATCTACATTAACCATCCAAAATTCAAAGAGCAAATATTTTCTAGTTGTGATATGTAAAGCAGACTATTAGTCAACCATGATATTTGGAGCACCACTGAATGCATTTAAGGCAAAATCTTTCCTATCAACACTTATAGGAAGAAAATAAAATAAAAAGGAAATGAAAAGTCCTGCTTTAGATAAATCTACCACTATTTGTTTATTACTGCCAGATAACACTTGCCTTACACATGACAGGAAGTCCAGCATACTCCCAGTGAGCCTATAGCCTGCGCCGCTACCTAATCACAGCGACGACAGACGCACCGAGACACGCTTAGCCGAGTTAAGTGCCCAGTGTCTGTTGCGCTACTCAAAAATAAACACATCCCATTAGAAAAATAAATTATCCTCACTCTGCTTTGTAAAGACAATGCAATCTTGTGTATAATGAGCACGCAGGAAATTTAATCTATTTGTAGCCTTGTTCTGGTAAACCAGAAGATTATTATCATCATTATTATCACTGAGGCTGAGGCCAGGAAGGCAAAGCACAGTGTGGTCGGTCAGTCCATAACTGGAGGACACAAAGAAAGGAAGAGCAAAGGTCAAACAGGACGTTTCTGCTGAAGTCGGGACCAGATTGTTGGACTTCTCTCTCACTAAGTGATTTATTTTCTCATTCACGTTTTGGCAAACAGGAGAGAAAAGGAGCAAACCACTAAATTGTGCCAAATACCTCACTGTCAGCAGCAGTTTGTCCCTCACATAATCTGCGCGCCCGTTTGTTT